AACTAACATAGCCAACATGAACCACATTCACCTTATTTCATAATGTGTATTACATTAATGTGTTATAATATTTTGTTGGTTTTGAAGTTTTTTTCCATTTCCAGGTTAGGTTTCCAGTTTTTCCAGTTTTGATTTTTGTGAATATGATCGAATTAAAACATAGGTTAAGTTTATTTTATTTATACAGTAACAGTGAGTACCGATGCTGAAATATAAAAACTGTTAAAATAATATAGGTTAGGTAAATTATGTATTGTAATTTAATATTCGATAATCCATTAAAACTATTATCTAACTTCTCAAACATGAATTATTAAATTGGTATGGAAACTTAGTGGTTTTATTTTTACAATGAAATATTAAAATTTATAATGAGTTTAAAATTAAGTTTGCAGTGTGGGTCTGTAATTTGTAAAGAAGTGTTTGTCAATTAAAACAAAAATGTAATATTAAAAATAATTACTATATACAAGTTAAGTTATAATATAAACAAAATAATTTTTAACTTAATAAACTTTTAACTTGCAACTTGCTAAACAATATAAAATATATTATTAATTTTAAATTGTATAATTTTTGTAAATAATTCTGCTCTCTCAGATTTGAATTAAATTTTTTTGAGATGTAAAATATAATATAAGAGTATCAACTACAAGCAAAGTGTATAATAATTTTTTTAATTGTATACAATGTCCAAAATGTCCAAAATTTGTTTTTGTTTTTCTATAACTTAAGATCATCTTGTTGTTCGATTTTTTTTTATCTATGTAATAACTAATATTGGATGTCTTACTTTAAATGACTGAATGTACTCGTAGCATAATATCATAATTTTAATTGTAATATTTATAAAGTTTATATGTGCATGATACACACTATACACAATATGCTTGTGACCATTAAATATTTATAAACGTACTTAAATTTAATTATTTAAACAATAGAATTTCATAAAAAGTTGACAGTATGTAAACACTGAAAATATTAAATAGCTTTCTGTATTTCAGTCATTTCAAAATCAACTATTCACTGTTTATTTTAATTGGGTAAAAAGCTAAATATAATTAAAATATTAATACCTTCAGTAAGAGTATTATGATAATATTGAGGTAATATATAAGGGTTTAGATTATGTTAAACTCTAAAAAGCAAACTGTAGGTATGTATGTTAAGTATTATAATAATATACACTGTATAGTGTGTAATAATACCTCATAACATATCGATTAATGATAAAAATACTAAATTCGATACTTAATTATTTTTTTTATACAAGCCATAATATATTCTTATGTGTATATTATTTAGTATATTATAATATTAAAGAAACATTAATATTCTTTTATCCAATCCAATTGTTTGTATCATATGTGTGTATAGGAAGCAACTAATTACCGTAGTTTTAGAATTACTAGAACGTAGTATACTATGTTATTAGCTTAATACAAAATTTGACATGGAATTATATTCATAAAAGTATATTTACATTTTATGGTCAGTTTAATAAAGTCATATGTTAGTTTGTGGTTTAAAGATAAAATAAAATATTAATTTTACATGAAACAGCAATATCAATAATATGATTATTATAAAAAATTTACTCAAAACATTGTTAATAAAATGATAATTTATGGTAGTTATTTATTTTAGTAAAATGAGTGAAACTAAGAAGAGATAGAGGCCACGCTCGATACTCATACACCCTAACGAAAACAAGTTGTTGGAAGTGAGATAATTGCAAAGTTGAATAATACTTCAGATCTCACGAGTCGCACCCTAGTCTATCGCTTTTTCAACATACTCTTCTCTTTCAACACCACTTGCAATGGCCCAAAAAGATATATATATATATATATATATATTGACCCAAACACACTTTAAAGGGTCCATTATTTTCTTATAAATATGATATTATAGTCGTAGTGACTTAGAATAGACATTTTGTGTAGACAACATTAATATTTGGTTTTACATTTGTAAGCATTTTACTACATAGGTATTTAAATTTATTATTAAATATAATTATTTATACAAGAATATACTACTATATGTTTTAATAGTTAATGGTATAATTATTGTTATAGAAACCCATCTCCATATTTTACTAATACAGTAATATTATATACCTTTGATAACGAGTAATATGTAATTAGCTAATATAATACTATAATATTTCAGGTATAATCAGTATATCATATGACATATACAGTAATAATATGTTCTTTATTGTCATTTACCCATATAATTTTTGACATGTTAAAATGTCACAAAATATATCTTTCTCGAATTTCATATGCATTTATTATGTTATTATTTGAGTACGTTTTCATTTTAAAATATGTCCTTACTAAAAATCTGAAGTTATCACAAACTTAATATTATGAAAACGTTTGATAAAAATTTATTTCCAATAAAACTTTATTGAGACATAGATTTTGTAGAGTTTAACAGTTTGCATCGTACTAGTATGCTATGATAACGGTTAACAATATTGTAAAGTAATTAATAACCAATTATAAACTAATACAATCTAAACCTAAAATCAAGGATCATTTAATTAAATGTTATTGGCATTTAGAAACTAATACTTGTAATTAGTTAGGTTCTGAATTTTAAGTTATTTTGTATACGTAATTTATAATAGAAATATTACTGTTTCCACTGGTAAATGGTAATTTATAACAATAGTATTATGCAATTTATTTTGTATGCACTATTTTAAAGCTCAAAAACTAATTCCAAACAACTCAATGTTCTTAGGAACATTTTTATTTTGGTTAGATACTCAATATTTTAAAGTCAAAGGATATTTTTAAGAGTATTTCTGTACAGTTTGTTATAATTTAAATTTCTCAAGGTACCTAAGTTAAATATATAGTTTTTTTTTTTTTAAAATTATAACATTGGCTGTAAAAATTATAATGTATCGTGCGTTACTCCAATGACACAAATAAAACAGGTCACTGATTAGAATCCCAGTATAGAGAAACAATAAATCTGACTACTGTGTATAAAGTACCTATATACGTATATGTATATGCATATTATACATATGCTAAATAAACCTACATATTAAATCACTTTCACTAAGTTTCATTGAAACTGTATAATTCATGTATTCTACATCAAAGTTTTTTTTTATTTTACATTATAACATATTTAATAAAATATATCATAATGACTTATACTTATAATAATTACAATAATAGTATAATGCATTTTTAATATAAATTATAAATGATATTTAATAATTTATTTGTTTTAACGAGGCGAACATTATATACAAAGCATCATCTAAAATAACAATCGACACAGTATTATTTTTATTTTCGTGTGACTACAGGTATTGCGATTATAGTATAACATGTATAATATAAATAGTAAAAATTGGGTTTGTCTTAACTCTTAACTTTAGGCAGTACAGTTAAATTATTAGTTTAAAAATGATGGATTGTAAGCAACAACATGTCAGTTAATTTTAATTTTAATTTATTAAATATTTTCTTCGTTGATGTTAAATATCCACATACAATTCATCTAGCCATAGTACTCTCTCGTCCATCGCTGCGTGTAGATCTTTAAAAGTTCCAGTGAACCTCCTATTTTCATATTCGCTGATTAATAATAAACATAAGGGTGTGTGTTGGCAACCTGCTCGAAGCCACTCCTGCCACTAGCTTTATCCCTAATGGGATAAATAAGTTGACTAATAGACAACGACCTGACCGCTGTCCATCGCTCTATGCGATCACATCACAACATGAATTCAAATCCAAAAAAATCAACACAATAACACAGTAATATGAAAATGGAAAGAAAGAAGGAAAATAAATTAGTTATAAAAATCTTTAGTGATAGGATATACATCACTCTATAAATGTAGATATGTTGTTAACTCATATTTAAAAAAAAATATAGATACTTATATATATTTTTAGTTATTTAGTTTGGTTACAAAATGTATAAATATATATATTATATTTTTACAATATTAATGTATTATATGATGCATAATAATTGGTATTGTTAGTAACTAACAAAATTATTCACAATTTTATGTTTCTAATTTATATTTATATTAATAAAATGTTGATTGTATTACCTTTGGTCATATATTATCAGATACATTATTAATACATACCTACTATTCATCATTATTATATCTTAATGTAATCAAAAATAAATAAACCATACATGGTAAATATACGGTCATATAAAATTAAATTTCAATAAGGTGAATATATTATAATGCGTTTAAAATTATTAATTGATTAGCTCTTTTTTTTAAACGATTCAAACATTTCAAACTAGTAACCACTTTTTGTTTATTATAATTTTTTTTTATTAATAGTAACGAACAATTTAAATTCAATTCGTGTTGTGACGCTAAAAACAATAACTCCATTTTTAATTCATAATTGATTGGATTCATAAAATATATGAAAAAAAACCATACTTCTGGTATGTTAGTCTATGTTTAATTTAAAACATTTTTCAATTTAATATTGATTGACGAACAACGTCTCCAGGCACCTATATACATTATTGCTGAACTCAATTTCCATTCTCAAACATTCCATATGTATTTTTCAACTTCTCCCAGGCGACAGTCTCATAGTTTTTTTTTTTTTTTCAAGACGTTACACAGCCCCTAGCCATTTAATAATGCCATCGCCTCTGCCGCTGTCAAGTATTCACTGTATTGTGTATATTATTCTGTTTACACTCTTTGTCGCCTTCGGGTCCATTTTGATTGACCTTTTGCGCCCTTGTTTGTATTATCCTGCTATTTAACTTCTTCGCGTTTCATTACTCCAAACTGTTTTCTAGTGCTCATATTGTCTCTTTTATTTAATTCGAATTCGAGCACACCCATACACCTCGAGTTAAAAATATTGCATGCATTATTTATGTAATATACCCTTACCACCCTTAATACTGCAGATATTTAATGTAATGTTTAATCGACATTGACTTGGGTAATTTATGTAATTTCTTAGGACAAAGCAGCTAGTTGGGATATAAACGACGATGATGACGACCCAAGTCCAAGAGATGACGGAGACAATAAACATGGTACTAGGTGTGCTGGAGAAGTCGCAGCCGTTGCATTCAACCAATTCTGTGGCGTCGGAATCGCATATAATGCAAAAATTGGAGGTTTGGAATAAACTATATAAACATAAGTAACTAGTAGAATTAATTTGATGTATTTAAAGAAAATTTAATAATTCATTAAAGTGATGTTGGATTCTTAACAGTTTATTATAATACACATAATATAATACAAGTTTATATTATAATAGTATAATACAATGTATTTAATAAATACTATTTATAATATAAATATATGGAAATACCTACCTAATATTATTCGTTTATTAGTATAATATACAAGCAATACATTTTACGCGTATTAATAAATATTTGTATGTTTGATAGCATATAAAAAATGTATGATATGCATTATAAATTATACATGCAATATTTTTTTTTTAAATATTAATATTATTAAATTTATAGTTATTGAAATATAATTGTGCATCTTAGGACATAAAATTAAGCAACCTAATTTAAAAATCGATATAATATAATATTATTATATAGGTACTTCAAAATAAATTCAATAGTCATAGATGAAGATATTGGAGATATTTTATTTGAAATTTTCTATCTGTTCATTTGAATAAATTTTTAAAAGTTATTTAAGATAATAATTAAACATAAGTAATCGATTGTGCTGTTGGTATGTTTATCACAAGGTGTCCGGATGTTAGATGGGGTTGTTAACGACGTGGTTGAAGCAAAAGCATTAAGCTTGAACACAAACTATATAGATATATACAGTGCTTCCTGGGGACCAGAGGACGATGGGGAAACAGTTGATGGACCTGGACCATTGGCCAAAAGAGCGTTTGTTAATGGCGTTACATCGGTAAGTGTCATCGTTACATTACCAAATGTAATCAAAAAATTTTTATTTGTTTGCTAAAGCAATTTAACAGAAATGTTGATCATTTTTTATAAACAGCAAATTTAAATTTAAAATAATTCATAAACCATAGAAGTAACTTAGCTATATACTGAATTTCAAATGTACGTTGTCATTGAGTGGGTCACGATAATTAATATTGTGTTGAATTTGAATCTAATAAAAAATTAAAACGTACGAATAAGTATTCTGAATAAAGCTGTATTGGCATCTATTTAAAAGGATATTTTATAATTTGTTTATTTATATTACTATTAGTATTAAGTAATTTAATTTTCTATTACCTTGTATACTATACGATGAACTAATTTTTTCCGAAAATATAGCATATAATTTATTATTCTTTATTATAATGTTGTATATCGTATATTACTCTATTTTTATTAATACAATTTTAATCAATTTCAAGTAGGTAGCGTACAACTTCGGACGGTGTTATTAGGTCTGTATTATAAATAGCTTACAACAATTTATTATTATCCAAATATTTTAAAAATATTATCAACGTGTATAGAAAATGATAGGTATCGTGATAGACAGATATTTTAGAGTTCCTTCGTTTAATATTAATTTACTAGGGTAAATTTAGCATGATGAATTCTCAACACCCAGTGACTGGTTTTTAACGTTAATAACAATATATTAACATAATTATTGTACGGCGGTTTATATAGGCAAAATATACTACAAATTAATGTTCATAATATTGAAATTAGAACTGAGTAAAATCGTCAATTTATTAATGGGTTTTTGCAAAGTTTAAACATATAATTTGTTCTGAATATCCATATATTAAGAAATACATAATAATAGAGGTGCTAACTTACGTAATTTAAATCTGCATGGTTACACTTTAAGATACTTAAAATTATAATTTTAATTTAAAGTGATTGATGATTAAAATTCATCTGGTACCTTTAAAAGTACCTGTACAGTATATAGCAAGTATGCATTGTCATTGAGTAGATTACTGCAATAATGTGATACTATAATCAGATCATATCTGACGAATTTCATAAAAAACAAAAAATATAAAAAGTCAAATATTTTAAATACCTGTACGTAAATACCACGTAAAAATCAAAGAATATCCACACTGTAAACGTATACATATACACCAATATACATATATTTATTTTGGCTACTGCATTTAGTCGAAATAGGAAGTAGTAAGTTATATACAATGATATTGCGAGAGATTATGGGCTAAAATTACAAATACCAAAAATTCCCGAGAATATTCTCAATAATTCATCGCCGAACAACCATCAACCAATATTGGTTTTATTTGTATACTTTAAACTGTGTTATCTTTATCGCTAATAATCGTCAAATCACTAACACAAATACTAACCCTAATCCTAACACTAAAATAAGCAATAATGCTCTCAACACGATGACGTCATGGTAAAACAATTGGTCACGCTAAATGGTTGAAATAACCCCCAACCATAATACAGACATGTCAAAAAATCCAAAGTATTTTGAAAATAATTCCGTATCTAGTAATTGGTAATATTAATATTTAGTGCAAATTTGAAAATGTGTATTCTTTATATACAGTTGTTAATTTTTTAATTACATGAAAAAAAAACTAAATCAATTATATCATAAACTGTAACTATTCTCAAATTCATTCTCAGTTAAAAGTAACTGGCCATTTTTTACTTTTTACCAACATAGTAGTAACAAGATTCAATTTCCTGCCAATAACTTCCCTCGAAGTTAAAAATTGAAGCATTTTACTAATTTAATTCCCAAACCTTTATACAATATTAGAGAATCAGCAATAATAGACACAGAAAAAAGCAAATAAAATGGTTAATATGAATTAAACCTTGAAAAATTAGTTTAACAGGAAAAAATAGTTATTGGGAAACAGGTTTGAGGGTATCTAAGTCATTCTCGTGTATGCATTATCGTGGTTATTATCTCGAAGATTCGTAAAATCAATACATTCATTGTTCTATTCAGAATCTAAAAATTGGCTGGTATAGCTTTGTTCTAGATCACTTAAATTTAAAAAAAAAACCTAAACTTATTTTTTCAATGTAGGTAATTAAAATTTTTAACAGTATTAATTGCATAATACAAGCATATTTAACCTAAATACATAAATATATCATATGATAGACATACACACTTTTCCTCATTTTTTATAATTAAAATATTACTTAAGCATAATTTTTTGCGTTGTTTAGATTCTATAAAAGGAAATAGTAGTTGTTAATATACGTGTGACTACAGACAATGCAATTATATTTACTTTTATTGAAAACATTTAAAACATTCAAACAAAACATCAAAAAAAAAAAAACAGTTTATCTTGTCATAAAAGAATTGTGATAATTACTTTAGATAATTTGTATTTGTATTTTTTTTTTGAAATTTAACATTGATGTAAATATAATATTATTCACTAACAGATAATTTGTACCTTTTTTTTTAACATTTTTCGTTTGGAGAGTGAGATATTTGTTGTTTATTCTAAACATAAGGTGATTTGAACTATTACAGACATTTGTACGCCATTTAAAAATATAAATGGATATAATTTAGCATTACGGTTGAATGGGGTTAGTTTGGATATTATCTGGGCAAATAGAAAGATGGTAAGAGGCAATAAGGTGAAAGAACGATACTGAGATATAAGAAAGGGGAAAAAATGAGATGGGATGCGAAAAAACGGTAGATAGAACCTTAGCAAAAGTTGCCATTAAGGGTTTTTAAATAGCCTGCAACAAACATTTATTTGTACTGTTTTTATGAGCTTTTATTGGTCRTTTCGTCTGTCAGGTAAAATGTGTGCATTTGTCGACAATTTATACACGCATCCGTTGGTTTCATAACAGCCTATTCAAACGAAAAATAGTAGAGTTTTTTGTTTTATATATATCAATGAATATTAAGTCGGTGACCTGATTGTTTAGTTTTGTGCTTTAATTTGTCTTCTGTTTTTATTTTTTTTTTTAACTTTTACTTTAAAAGGATTTTTTTTTCATGTGTGTGCTTGTGTAGTTGTGTATACCTTCTGTTAATGGATAAAGTCCATTAGACTAGACATACATATTCGTGAATGATTTGTGAACTGTATAAATGTCCAATGTTGTTGTATCTTAATATTCTGAATAATACGGGCTATGAAATGTCCCAGTAGTAATCTTTATTATCAAAATAAACATTTACCTGTAACTTGACATGAGCTAAACCAATAACCAATAAATCAATATATTAAATTGTCTGCAAGATGCAGTTTTAAAGTTAAAGCAGTTATATTATAATTTTCTTACGTATTTAGTGATATTTAATGATTAATAAGTCTTATAATTTGAGTTTTTTTCGAAGCAAAGCATAACATAGCTAAATAAACAAAATCATAAAAATATAAGTTGCTGACATGTTATTTATAATTTAGAATACAGATAAAAACTTTGATAATAAGTTTATTTCTACAACTTTTTTCCATTAAGTTGCATATTATTTTCTTTAGAATATAAAAGATTATGAAACGTTATGTTGTATCTAACGCAACATGATTTTAATATTATTTACGGAATTTGTCATGTTATTGATATAAGTTTAGTTATTCAGTAATTTTATTTAAATAGACTTAATTTTGTTATGTATTGGGATAGAACTATTTAGTTAACATTTATTTATTTTATCGAGTACAATATAATAGACACAATCTACTGATTTGAACAATAGAGTTAAGAACCAAATGATGCTATTTAGAATCACTATTAGATAATATGTTTGKAAATCGTATTGATTTAGGACCTTTTAGTTCCTACCTATTTAAACAGAGTTCATAATTAGTTGTTTGCGAGCTTGAATTATAGTTCATTAAGTATATAAAAAAAATATATTTTTGATCAACAGAATTAGATTCTTTTGGTTTTGAGTATCTGGTATCATAAATTCATAATTCATACATTTTTATTACGAATTAAATTATGGTTTTTCTTTAATTTATTGATATTTCATAAAATACAAAAATATTTGAGAAATATATTCTTTTGTAGAAAATCTAAATAAAAGCTAAACTGAGGTAGATAAAATAAGGGGTTTCAAAGGTAAAATATATTTTTGGAAGCTTGGAAAGATTCCAAAGTTGTATACGATAATTATTATAATTAAAATTATACATTTTTTTCATTTTTCTGATGATAGTTTGTGAGTCTTGACATCGAGGAGGTCGTTTCTTAAATTCCTAAAATACATTCTATTAAAAGTATAATTATGAAATGAAAAAATGTTTACCTTCTTTATAAAAGGTAGCATGTTATACCTGATGTAAATTTATAATTTTGTTAATTTTTACTGTTCACAATAATAATTATTTTATTTATTTCTGTTTTGATTGATTGATCATCAGTACAATAATGGTATATACGTATACATATTTTTTCTATGAATGCCTAATGCATATATTTTTTACTCATTTTAAGGTAAAAATGACAAAAATTTAAGTGAAATATTATAATTGATAACTTAGCATTCATTCAAGCTTTATAAATTTGTTGTCAGTATAATATTTGTATCAGTTTAATGTACTAGTTTAATGGAAAATAGTACTTGAATTCCAATTTTTCATTGAAAATAAACAAAATAAGACATTTACAAGATAAATTATCTTCATTAATATCTATGGTTTGTAATCTAATTTGAATATTATGGTTAATAATATATAATATTTTCAAAAGAAACAACATAATATAAAATGTAATATTGTATAATATGCGAAATGTGTTTTTTTTTCAATTACATAAATAGTGGTCTCTAAAATTATAACTTCACTTTAATGTACCTGGGTGATTGGTAGGACTAGTAAATGGATAATTTAATATTAAGGGGATTTTAATTGAACTGTAAAATTGAATAGAATGTTTTGTATAGATTATGATAATATTTAGAATGATGTGTTTCATATTTTTAAATTTTGCTATTTTTTAAATTTTATATTTAACATCTTATCTCGTAAGAAAGTGAATTAAGTTAGTCCTTTTTAAAGAGAGCGAAAGAAAACTAAAATGTATATATTTCAAAAGCGTCTTGAAAAACCAGCAGAACGGATTCCACATTCTCACCATTTATTCTTTTAGTTATAAATCAATTCAATTTCTGATTACTGGAATTTTCAACACTTTACAACGATCTATTTTCAGTTGGAACTCCCTTTTCCCGCAGAATTAAGTGTGAGCAGGCTTGTTAAATTACAATAGATATATTCTGTACCAGTACACAATTTGATTGAGTAAACTTAAATTATGTTTCCAGAAATATAAGACACCTTGTACTTAAGTTCAAGTGCAACTTTAGATTTAAACAAATAAAACAAAATCATTTTGACTTATTTTTTATAAGTATGTGCACTAGTAATTTTTACCATACAAATTATACATAACACACAATTATGTCAATTTAGTTGATTATTTTTATGCCTACAGGGAAGAAAAGGCAAAGGTTCAATATTTGTGTGGGCTTCGGGTAATGGTGGCCATCATACTGATTCTTGTAATTGTGATGGATATACAAATAGTATATATACTCTGTCCATTTCAAGTGTCACTCAAAATGGGTATGCATTGATAAATATAAATTAATTTAGTTTATTTGTTTGAAGGAATATATCTAAAGTCGTATTATTTTTAGAATCGTTGTTATTCTTTGAATAAATGCTAAACAATTTACAGAAACAAACCATGGTATTTGGAAGAATGTTCATCAACATTGGCTGCTACATATAGTTCTGGAACTCCAGGAAGTGATCATGGAGTGACAACAGTTGACATGGATACAAAAATGAAACCAGAAACCATATGCACTTCCGAACACAGTGGTATTTTACGTATTACAAATTAAATATAATATAGATCTATACACATAACTACTGATTATTAGACTAATCAAATAAACTTTCGAACGCTAGGAACTTCAGCTTCAGCTCCTATTGCAGCTGGCCTTTGTGCTTTAGCCTTAGAAGCAAATAGTAATCTCACTTGGAGAGATATGCAGTATTTAGTTGTCATGACTTCGAATACAAAACCTTTACAAAATGAATCTGGTTGGACAACGAATGGAGTTAATCGTAAAGGTATGAAATAAATAATGTAATTGTACTGTTGAAATTAAGCAACCAATCTTTAATTTTTTATTTTAAAACATATATACTAGTAAGTATACTAAGTATATATATATATATATAGTGTATATATAAAAATCATAATAACTTCTATGATTAATCCATTAAAATAAGTAGGTTAATTACTATTAAATTATTAACTGTTGAGAAAAAGTACAATTAGTTGCTCAGTCATGACATTTTAACATTAATTATTCATAATAATACTTAAAGTTCTACATAAATAAGTTTAATTTAGTATCTTACATCAACTTGAAACAATGTTAATTAGTATAATTGCTTAACTAGCTGTTATATTAATCAATATAAAACATATTTTATTTAGTAAGTCATAAATTTGGTTACGGACTGATGGATGGGGGTGCTTTAGTTACAATGGCTGAACAATGGACAAATGTCCCGTCACAGAAAATTTGTAGATCCAGAGAAGACAATAAACAAAGGTACCATATACATACAAACTATCATTTTCTTCCATTTCAACATTTAATCATTTTCACTATCTACTTAAAATCTAGGTGGATTGATCCCGCCCCGGGTAGTGAACTAACTATGTTTATGGAAGTGGATGGATGTCAAAATAATTCTGCAAATACCGTTAACTACGTTGAGCACGTGCAATGTCGAATATCACTCAAATTTTTTCCTAGAGGTGATTTGAGAATCTTATTGATTTCACCAATGGGCACAGAATCGGTATTATTATTTGAAAGGCCGTTGGATATAATAAGCAGTACGTTTGACGATTGGCCATTTCTGAGCGTACATTATTGGGGTGAGAAAATAGCTGGCCGTTGGGAAATCAAAATAACTAGACGAATGGCTAATTCAACTGCTAAAAGTCCAGGTAATATATATTATATTAAAATATAGCAAATAAATATCACCTTAAATAGTTTTAATTTTAATAAATTAATATTCACTTATAATATTTCAATATAATTATTAAAAAGAACAATTTTTTTTTAAATTTTAAATTTTACAATAATTATTGTTTTTACATTCAGTTCTTTCAAAGGTTTCGTTCGTTTTTTAAACATTTATTAAGACGCTTTGCTAGTGGAGTTATTTTTTTATTAAGGGGAAATATGTAACTTCGTTGCCACCGCCCATTGTATTAGTGTTGGTCATCAATGATAATATTATTAGTGTGTTCAATCGTATGCAGGTACCCTATATACGCACACACTGAACGTTTGCACAACGACAGCATCACAGACCAAAAATGAAAAGCCTAATTTTTAACTCAAAATACGCTTTTCACGAAAAACTCTCACTGTAGAGTGATCTCATATGAATATATTTTTTTAAATTTTCTACAGAGAGCATAGGATTTTGATTTTTAATTTGATTAAAAATAACATATCTGGTAAAAATAACAAACGCTTGTAAAAATTTACCATTATGAAGTTTGGCTTAGAAATAAAATTTTGAAAATTCAAGTTCAATGCACCTTGTTAGAAGTCTCCCCCTTTCAACAAAAAGACAATTTTATATAAACAGGGTGATTCTTTTATCAAACAACACTCAAAAACTATTGATTTTTTTCAAATTTTTTTTTTTTTCAAAATTTTAGAACCATCTTGTTCTAGAACTAAATCTTTTTTAAATATTTTCACCCTTTTATTTATCAGGTTAACCATTATCGACTTTTGATTTTCAAATGACAACCTATACTTAAAAATTCATAAACTAAAAAGGCTATTTTTTCATTGAATTTTCACGTTCAAATTTTATTTTGCGTTAATCCGTTTATAAGATATAGCCTCCCAAAGTTGGGTGGTTTTGGGCGGTGTTTGTGTGTTATAGGTGTATGTTAGGTGGTATTTACACACAAACACCATATAAGTGTTGTTTGATAAAAGAATCACCCTGTATATATATATACCATGTGTCCGTGGAAACAGGGTACACTTTACCACTCATTATCCTGTACATATTTTTCAATTCTRTTTTYGGGACATTAAATTAGACTATTGGATCTTTAATTTCGATGACTTACAATTTTTTTAACTCACGTATTTTACGCATGCGCAACACAACTTTACTTTTTTTAAATGGCAACCCCTATTTTGAATATCATTTTCGAATTAATGAAATTTTTTAAGTAATTTTGATCTAACAACTACTACTCTCAATCCAATATTGACCAAATGAGAGTGAGTTAAAATTCAAAAAAAAAAAAAAACATTTAAAAAAATTATTTTGTTATTTATTTTTTAATTTTAATTTTATTATTTTAAACTCTACTACACATTTTTTATTTACAATTCAATTTACAAAAATCACTAACATAAGTTACTCGATAAATTGTTCRAAAGTCCCTCCATTATTTAAAACGCTCATTCGGTCAATATTGGATTGAGGGTAGTAGTTGTTAGATCAAAATTACTTAAAACAAATCCATTAATCCGAAAATGATATTCAAAATAGGGGTTGCCATTCAAAAAAAGTGAAGTTGTGTTGCGCATGCGTAAAATACGTAAGTAAAAAAAATTGAAAGTCATCGAAATTAWARATCCAATAGTCTAATTTAATGTCCCAAAAACAGAATTGAAAAATATGTACAGGGTAATGAGTGGTAAATTGTACCCTGTTTTCGCGGACATACGGTATATATAATATGTATATTAATAATAATAATAATTAATAATAACTATAATAATTATTAAGGTAAAATGTAAGTGTTTATATTTGTTATTTACTATTTCATCAATATTTATATCATTCAATGCATGCGAGTAATTAGCTAATAAACCTTATATTATTATAAAATCTGATTATACGGATGCTAATGTAATTTATTTCACAAAAAAAAAANTTATAAAATCTGATTATACGGATGCTAATGTAATACATTTGGGTGAAAAAAAAAAAAAAAAAAAAAATGATTCAATTAGAGTTTCACTCGACATATTTAAATTGTATATTTCACTATAAAAAATATTCTTGATTTTATGATTAATTATTTTTATGATTGATTACTATTGATATTACTTTATTAAAAAGTAAAAAAAACATAATTATGATATTAGATACATTTGTCAAACCGTTAATAATTTGTGTAGGACTATTGAAAAAGTGGCAGTTGATATTTTATGGTACATCTGAGCCACCGGTAAGATTAATTCCCAAAAAGAAATTCTTCAATCGGATTCAGACAAAGACAAAATTAAAACAAAACGAAAAAGAGGTATAAAGTTGGTTAGCAGGGCATTTGGTACTGGGTTTATTTCCACTGTTATGAATTTAATAATATTTTTATTTTTTATTTAATTCCTATAGGGGTTGAAAAAAACCAAGTTTCAAGGTAACTTGGTGAATACTAAAAATGATTCAACAACTCCAGTTAACGCTAGTTTAAACAACAATGAATCAATAAGCACATTAACTCCATTCATTAAACATCCGTGTATAAATAATACAAAATATTGTCAACAATGTTTAACTACTTACAACGAATCACTGTGAGTATCATATATACTTATAGCTGTAGAATAATATTTTATGTTAAAGATTTAAAATTGTTATGATTGTATTGAGAATTTCTTTTAATAATTGTTATAATTTTTGCATACAGTAGTATTAAAAATAACTTTAAGGTTAATAACTAAGTTCATACACAAGGTACTTTTATGAACTATATAATGGATTTTAAACCATACAATATTATATATATGGTATATAATATAATATAAATATATGTTGTATTATTGATAATTTATCTATATATTTAAGTATTAACTTTAAAATAAATTGAGTTAAGAAAAATTTAATAACAAAATAATATCTTTACTTAACTTTTATTCTTATATAATGAATGATAATTATAATATATAAAATATAATTATACCAAAAATAATAATGATGATGAATAATGCTTATATTGTTAAATATTTCATATAATTTCATTAAAATACATTTATTAAATACTAAACTGTATTTTCATTTATAATACATAATCAAATTGTACCTGTCTGATATGAATATTAATCTAATTGCTTTAATTTATATTAAAATAATGGTTATTAATTGTATACTATTACAGATGTAACCAATTTAATGAAACGGACATTGTATATTGTGAGTAATTATAAACTGTATTAACAATATTTTTTTTCTTTATGTCTTAAACAAGTATTAAAAAAATTTTATTTTATTTTTTTTGTAAGTTAAGTGTTTATTATAATGGCTAATGAGMTTAATACCGAAATAACAACACGAATATTTAGTTCGAAAATATTATGAATTTTAAAGAAACAAAATACGTTTCTTTTTAATTTCTTGCTGTAAATCTATAGCATATTAACATTTAAATATAATAATAATTTATTATTCATAGTAATAAACAATTTATAGAAATTTGATTATTTGTGTTATTATTATCAATGGAATAATATTATTGTAGAATAAGAAAAATTAATTCTCTCTTGAATTTTATACGATCAATTAGGTAACTGCTCCAATTCGAATAATGAAAAAAGAAGAGCCAACGATGACAATGTTGATACCATATTTTACAGTTCTTTGAAATCTGACCGAAACCATGTGACTAAACCTAGAATAGGGTTGGAGATCGTTATTTTCGTGATGCTGTTACTGATATGGCATAATTTCTATCAAGTAAGTGGAAACTCTTAAAATGCATGTATTGTCACTATATAATTTCAAACAATCCATATTGACGTCGAATATTAAAGACGGCACACTTATGTGTTCCCCTCTCGATAAGCCCCGCCCATGTTCTCTAAATAGCCTGTAGTTGAAAACGTAGCTACGCTCTTATGGTGTAAACGAGTTATTTCTTTAATGCGTTTTACCAAACACCACCGGGTCTGTGGGAAATCTGCGTCGGTGTGATACAAATATAAACATTTATGATTGTTTTTAATTTTGATGAATACGTTTTGCCAATAATATACTGAACATATCTATAAATCATCGACAACATGTACAATTTAAAACGTAAGTAAATTTGCTGAAACTAACCATATTATTATTCATAATGTAATAATTTAATAATTTCATGTTTAAAATAAACGACTTTCTATAAGACAATTATTTACTGATTAATTCAAATATTTATATTTTTAATAAAGACAACGTTTATTATAGTAATATAATAGGTACAAATAGATAATATGTGCATCAACGTGTGTAATAATTTAGTTCGTTAGTAGTTTTATTACAAAATATAGATATATATTATTACGATTTTGTTATATTATGATTTTTAGTTTTTACTCATTTTTATTTGATAGTGTTTCAATTCAGTCTGCGAGGATTAGGTCTCATTGCAATCGTGGTTGTAGACATCTATTTTTATTTTGGTGCCTAGTTTGTAGCAATGGTCTAGGTTAGTTTTCAGTTTCAAATGGAAGATTTGAACTTAGTTTTGATCCAATTTATACGATTTGAACGTTTTGACTCATGAGGTACATTAGTTAAGTCACGGTAAATTATTAATTAGGTTATAGGTTTATAATTTATAAGTATTCATATTATTTGATGAATTATTTATGTAGGAAAATAATAAATATTGGTTGATTTATGATCAAGAAAGTAGCCATGTATATTGTATATTAATTATTACGTATACCTGAAAATTAATATTGTTTATCTTTAATATGAACCTTAGTTATTACCTTCTTAAAAATATAATACGACTATTATTACATTTTTAAACGATAATTATTTCATATTTTGATTAGAATACAAAACGAGYACCTAGTATTTAAATGTACCAATCGATACTTTTGATACTTAGTTTTATGATGGTTTAATATTTATTAAATAGTTCATGGGGTACTCAAATTATAATAAAAAACAATTTAAAAATCTTATGAAGAATTAAAAATTATAAAAACCATTTAAAAATACTACATTATTTTTTTTTTGAATAAAACGAATAGTTGCTGTAAAATTTTAAGAATATTGTTGGCAGTAAAATAATATTTATAGTGCATTCAGACCCTCTTACAAAATAAACTTTAATATTGTCTCTCTATATTATGTCAACAATGTAAACTTAAGTTTTTTGTTCAGATAAAAAAATATTTCGATAAAATGAATGGTAATATGTATTGTATATATTATTCAGGATAATATATTAAATGTTTATGTTTAGATACATTCAAACCATAGTTTTAATTATCATAAAATAACCTTGGTAAACATAAATAAATAATTGTAAAATGATTAAATACAATCGAATTTAAACAAAACATACTAAGTAATCAAAAGCAATACCCAAATATTATTTTATTAATATTTATATTATAGTAATAATACATTTAGAAGTTGGTTATCATTACGAATATTTTAATCGTTACCTTTTTAAAAGATGATCCAAAATTCAAAAAAAAAAAAATATTATTTTTATAATATTTCTTAAATGTGCTACATAATCTAAATGTTGATTTATTTAATAAAATATGCTTATTTGGTTAAATTAAGTTTGATAAATATTCTATCCGTTAATCTATATGATTCTATACAGTGAAAGTCGTGTGMAAAAATCCAAGGTATCTATTATAAAAAACATCATTACAATATTTAAATTATTAAAACATAACTTTTAAGTTAAATATTACCAAAAAATGTTGTATTAATTCCAAAATAATATTCTAAAGTTCATAAACTATGTATACATTTGTGGTATTTTGTGTTAAATAATAAGTAAAAACATATTTATAAAGGTTCTAAATAATAGACCTATTACGTTTTATTGGGGCATAAGAACGGCTCAGAAAAAAAAAAAAATAATAATCCAAGTGATTATGATTAGTATTAGGTATTGAATAAAAGAATAAAAGTGTTAATGTGATATATATCTTCACTCATTAAATCTAATACAGTGAAAACTCTCTATAACGAATCTGAAGGGACCATGTGATTTCTTTCGTTATTGAGAGGTTTTGTAATAGAGAGTAATTAATAGGTTTTAAATCAAACCAACCATTATAAGTTAACTTAATGTTATTTACGTAATATAGAGTTTTTCGTTATAACGAGTTTTGTTATAAAGAGTTTTCACTGTATTATATAAAGTTAGTACGTCAATAAATTATCCAATCAACCAAAAATTAAACTGTTTAAATTTTAAATAATATTTATAATTATGTTTAAGTAAGACTTTCTCAATTAATTTGAGAGTTAAATTTTCAAGATCAAATGTACGTGATAAATAAATTACTATTTAAGTTTGAYTCTAAACATATATTTTTTTTAGTATGATATTAAAAACAGACAGCAGGTAGAAAATTATACTGAAATTTTATTATAGTAATTTTATACAGATTATTTATTAAACTAAAGTTATGTAACTCAATACATGTGTGCTATAACCATAAATGTGGATTAATTGTTGTTAAAATGTAGTTAGCTACCTATAATATATAGGTATCAGATTKCTATATACAAACATATATAATGTATGTGGCTAACATTGAATATAAAAGCATACATTTATATTGTACCTTTACCTTGTGCAGATTAAAAATCTAATCTAGAGCATTTGGAGGAGTGATTTGAAAATAGGTACCATACGAAAATTTAGAGAGAAAATGATAAAAGAAGATTGAAATGTTTTATTTGTGTAGATACGCAAGATAAGTCAAWGTTTTTGACGATTAAAGTTTAGTGATATCCAATAAACACATAGCAACATAGCCTACCTATAGAAAATACTAATAGGAACACTGAAAAGAGACATGAAGGAAAATAACAAATTATACTATATTAAATATACCTATTCAACATTACATTCTTCGATATAATATAAATAGAAACAATTTTATGAGCATTTCACATATTATATCTACTATTTATAAGAAAAATAAAATAATATAACTTATATGACGATATTATAYGACATAATGTCTAGGTATTAATAATAGTTATTGTTAATAWGTAAATTTAGTTGAGGGGCTTTTGTGTTTACTGCTTAATTTAAATACAGTAAATTGAAAAATAAAATTGAATCTAGTCTAATAAGTTATTACACCGATTTAATGATATAATTATATACATTATTATAATTATATATCTGGTATATTAGTATTGTATATTACTATAACAAGTAATCCAACCATCTAACCCATTAATAGGCATAGTATAATTACTTATTTACACAATAGGTACCTACTACCTATCAAAAGATACGATGTGTGTTTTATATGATAAAAATATATTTTAATATTTAAGATAGGTACGTATGATAAGTTTTCTGAAATGTTTGATTCTATCGTGGTAAATATTTTGAACGACAGTCGTTTATCACCATTTTTAGGATAAACATCAAGTCTATAATTTGTTCCCTTATCTTCCGGTCACACACTTCATTTTTTTCTCTTACGTTTTAAAGTAATATTTTTTAGTATTTCCTTTGAATGCAAATAGTTAGGTTAGCACATAAAATGGTGTKCACTAAATTCAACGGAAATTGAATAATAAGAACTAAATCTTGCAAACGGCACGTATCGTCATACTTTTCCGGTCTTGAACTCAAGTATACAATTTAACTGGTATTTTTTGAAATGTTTCCAG